GGCCCCACGTGCCTGCCTGGACACAGGCACTCCTGCTGCCCCACTCAGGGCCCCTGCCAGCCCTGGCCCTGGGCACTGGTGCAGGCCCTGCACTCCTTGCCACCTCCGCCTCTTCGGCTGGTGAACTCAGGCAGTGAAGCATCCCACAGGAGCGGGGTGGATGTTTGCAGACAGCTGGGAGCAAGGGGGTTTGCAGCCTCCCTGCTACGTGCCTGGCTGGCTGTAAACCCCACCCTGCTCCTGGCCAGCTGCAAAACTGCACCCCCTCCATGGGACGCTCCACTTCTCCCCCAGTCTGTGTTCACCGGCTGTGCCTGGCTTCTCCCCCCCACCCCCATGCTTATGCCCACCCCCACTCACTGCCGCCGCCACCACTGCTTCTCCCCGCCTTCTCACCAAAACTCACCAATTCCACTGAGCGCTATAGCAAAAGTGGCTGAGCGCTCAGTGAAATCAGGTATCAATTTTAAATGAGCGCTATAGTGAAAAGGCGCTAATTGAAACCACGATAAGTAGGGGTTGCCTGTATGTTATATGCCTATGGAGCATCTTTGTGTTTCTCATTAAATGATCACAGGTGCCTCCACATTTTGTTAGTGCTACAAATTTATTTTTTACATTTCAGGGTGTGAAGCGAGACCTTGTCCTCACTCCTAAGTGCATATACTTAATTGGTCGTGAAAAAGTGAAGCAAGGTCCAGAGAGGGGCCTGGTGAAAGAGGTGATAAAAAGGAAGATTGAAGTGGAAAGAGTTCTTACAGTTTCTCTAAGGTCAGTGCCTAGCCAGGGGCTTTTCTCCTGGCAGGGAGGAAAAATCCCCTGTAGAAATGGGAAAAAGGAGATGATTTACAAAGGCTGGGATCACATGAGCACTCCTCAGTTAATTAAAAAAATAATGACAACAATAGGACCTGTTCTGGAAACTACAGTTCATTTCCATTTTTGTCAATATGCTAAGTTCAGAAACACACACACATTTTCTGAGTGCCAGTTAAAGTGGTACTGTCTTTACCAGTAGTTCAGTTTATCAAGTGTTTTCCCAGAAAAATCTGTTTTGCAACAGAATTATCAATCACTGTAATTAATGTTAATTAGATGCTAAGGAGTCTTGATCCAAACTCCTCCTCCCAAGAGTAGTTTTCAGTGATTTTTAGGTACACTATGCATGAGCCCTATGCTTCTTGGTGCGCTGCCAGTAAAGGCTGCTGAAATTATGTTTCTACTCTTGCCTTTGTATGTTAAGCCTTTAATCCTGGTGAGTTTCTCAGCATTTCTGCTGACTCAGTGCCAAACAAATCCCAGATTGCAGGAAATAGCTCTGTGTCCATATAAAGCTGAAAAACCCACTTCCAGGTGACTAAGTACAAAACAGGAAGAGACTACACATCAGACAAATGGACTTTCATCAAAATCACTTCATCCCTCAAAGAAAGAGAACAGTCTTGCTGTTTTTGCATTTGTTTCCAGTTTGCCAGAGCTACCACTGATTGAAATTCAGGACACTGGAGTACAAAGCCATTTGTACAGGAATTTAGTATTAAAAATTGGATGAATTATTTAAAAAATAAAGTATTTCTCCATTTAAGTGTTGCTGCTAGATACTTAAACACAATTTTAAGTACACACTTATAAATCCCTGGCGCATTAGCCCATTTAAAAACCTTTAGATAGACATTATGAGGTGCTTAGCAAAGAGCAAAATTAGATTTCTATATTGTTTTTAATTCACCGCTCTTTCTAGTAGCAGGAAAAGCTGTGTCCATTTTAGAGTGACCTCAAGCCTTGCATAGTGGTCTTGTTCTGTATTGAGTTAGGAAAATAATGTTAAATGGGGCAAGAAACAAGCTACAAAAATTATTATTTGTCCATTATGGAGAATCAGAGAACTCAGGTGGCAAGAATTAAAGTTTTCCTTGAGATTCTCAATAGATTGCTTACTGAATTAATTAAATCTTCCTACAGCAATTTTAATGCCTATATGTTTGCATATATGTGAAACTAACACCAAATATAAATGCACAAAAAAATGTCAGGCCTAATTTTTCAGAGATGTCAAGTTCAACACTTGTTGGGATTTTAATAAAAAAGTTTTTCATCTTTTTAATTCTTTCATAAGTAGGTTTTCAAAACTGAATTAATCTTTCCCAGCCTTAAATATTCCACATCTTTTTAAAATCATTTGATCACTGAGCCAACTTTGAAATGAATCTGAAATTTCTTCCTATTATATATATATATTTCAAATGGTTCAATTCTTGTATAGATTATAGTCTTCCTTCAATATGTGGTAATTTAATAGGGATACCAAAAAAGAGTGTGAGTATGCGTTTATACGGGGGGTGAAGTAGAGAGAGAGAGAAAAAAAGATAAACTAGTATTTGAAAAATAGATTATTACCTAAGCAACTGTTATCTCAACAATATATTATCATATCTATAATATACTGGATTAGATCATGTTAATACAATTTAAAGGCATAGTAGCTTGCAGAAGGTCAACTCAAGTTAAGAGCAGATACGATACTACATACATTTGTGATGAGGTGAAGACTATCCAGTTAAAGCAACTGGGTGCATTTTAGTTAAGCCGAATGTAATTATACTAGAAAAAAAATGTTAAAATCATGGTTATTTATGTGGCTTTGTACAGTCGCAAAGTAGACTTTATCCAAAATATGAGGCTGCTCCCCAGGCTCTTGTTAAAATGCCACAGAGTCTTTAATGACTGTGAATAAATTGAGTTTTACAGTTCACCTAGAGAGTAGTACAGTGCCATCAACACCGTAAATAAGAGGGATTCCTACTCAGTTCACCAAGAAGGGTACCACCTACTGAACCACCAGCACTGCTTCCTACTGCACATGTACTTCACTTAACAGTCTCTCTCAGTGTTGCTTTATTTGGTATGGTCATAGGTCATCGTTTTGCTTTGTTTGTAAAATTTTCACTCCTATACTGGTTATAGATGACATAATTTTTTTAAAAATGCATCTTTTCACACATCTTCTTCCCCATGATAAGAAAGCTAGCTCAGTGCTTCAGTGTTTGGGGGGTGCGGTGAGGCAGGAGTGGGAGGACAGGAATCAGAGGGAACTTGTAAGGATGGGGAAGTATATGGAAGCATGTGGAAATTCAGCTCTTAAGAAGGAATGACATAGGAGGAAATGGCAATGTTGGCACTTGTATTGTAAATTATACCATGAGCTCCTACAGCACACAGATAGGTTCTCTTCCCATTCTGTGTGGAATACACCTAAAAAAAACTGCTTAAAAGTTTGTAGGGAAGAAAGTGCAGCCCACAGCAACCAGATAGAAAATGAACACCAAAGGGCTGCGGCTGTGGCCTGTCCCAAATTTAAAGGGCCAGCTGTCAGGTAAGCATGCTGGGAAAGGAAAGGTATAAAAGGCATGCCCGAAGAGGTAAGTTCATCATAGCCAGATCACCAAGAAGTAGGTGGCTGTAACTGAGTAAACTCAATTCTGCCACTATTAGCTGCACGAAAGAGCATTTGCATTCAGAAACAGGAGCCCTGTGTGCTGATTACTTAACCCAGCTCGGGGCTTTTCCACCTTTTTTGGTCAGGGGGTACCCTCGGTGGCTGATCAGTGAGTGGGGAGGTGGTCCCAGAGGCTTCGTGCTGCTGCTGCATACCCCCCGGGGCCTTCCCAATGCAAAGGACTTCCGTGACAGTCTACGTATACCCCCGGCTGAAAACCCCTGACCTAACTAGTTCTGTTTGGAAAGTTATGATATGCTGGAGTAATAAACATCCAGATCTGTTAGACATCAGTGACTTTTCCTTTAAAGCTTACAACCTCATGTGCCTACTAGAGAAAAGAAGCCATTCCTTGCTGACAACCATCTATTTGAACTTCCCTTTCACCTGGCTGCAGAGAAGCCGGGCTTGCCCCTGCTTTCAGCTGCAGTGACTAAGACACATGGATGTTTACACTGCTGAATACTCTGCCAGCAGCTACCTCTAATAAACTATCGTCTAAAAAGCAGCCGTTCTTAATAAATGTTAACTCAAAACCTAACAGGATTTCAACTGTTGAAAGCTTAATGAATGTTTTTTCTCTTCAAAGAACTGCAGACTAAGGCCTCCTCTTTTGCTTAGTATGCGACATGTAACATGCTGAGAAGAGATTTAAACAGTAAAACAGTGTTTTCTAATGTCATTAGTCAGAGCAGGAGATAAAAGATGCCAGTAAGCAAAGCCACAAACTGGTTTGAGTGCCTTTAAAAACTGTGTGCAACTGCTAACATCTGTAAGAAATTGCAGCCCAAACCCATGAGTAAGGCAGTGGACAGATCCAAGGATAAGTTTGGATCTGAGCGGGTGAACAAATATATCTGCAAGCTTTTGTAAGTGGCTGTATGCCTGTAACCAGAATAATGCCAAGAGGGTTGTGGGGATGCTTTTTGACAATGATATAAGACTTTTCTAATGATTTTTCATTCATTCTGCATGCTAAAGCAGGGGTGTCAACACATTCGGACCTGTGGGCTATATCAGGCTCATGGACCACCTTCCCCACCCCATGCCAGATCCAGTGCCTGCTCTGATTGGTTTGATGCCAGTCATATGCAACCACCCAGAGTTTGGGACGCAAGCCATGTGCGACCAGCCAGAGTGGGTGCTGGATTTGTCATATGGGACACTCATGCCCCCCCCCCTCCCCATCACCCCCAGCATGCCAGATCCAGTACCCATTCCAGCTAGTCCAGGTGATCCACACGCACCACAGATCCTGAACCAGCTGGAGCCAGTGCTGCATGCATTGGCTCGAGGACATACATGTGGGGCCAGTCCGATGTGTGCCACATGGGTGAACTGTGAGACCCAGGGACAGCACCAGGGCCAGATAAGAGGGCTCTGTGGGCTGAATTTGGCTCATGGGCTGCGTCTTTGACACTCCTGCTATAAAGTGAAGCTTTTTAGTTATGCCTGTGGGACAGGAGGGTGTAGAGAAGGTTGTGACAAATCGAACACCCTTTTCCTCACTTCTATCCCTGGTTGTCCATGTAGCCCCAATATCCATGCTGTCATGTTTTAATTTGCTGGAATCTTTTATAAAAAATATAGGTGAATGAGAGCAACAGATTCCATCCCTTAAGAAAAAGGACTTCTAGGATCCTTTCCCAGTTTCCTGCAAAAGGCTTCATTTCCTAGCTGCAGGATGGGATATTAAATTAATGCTAAAACTAGCACGTATCAGAGATGCAACAAGTGCTTGCAATAAATAGGACAGTAGAGAGACTTTGACTTCAGCTGTACTGTAGTAGAGTGAACTCTCAAAAGGGACAGCTGTAATGTAATGCTAATCATTACATTTTCTCTAAGGAATCATTATAACAAAATCTTTGTTCAAAAAAAGGAAGGAAGAGGCTAGGACCCAGTTTTTGAGTGGTGTAAATCAACGCAGCACAAATGAAGTCAATATCTAGGGACCTACCTAATTCGAGGTGGCTGCCTGCCAATTTCGTGGGCAGAACTTGGATTCTGGCAGCCGTTTTGCAGGAAGAGCATGGCACACCCCTGCCCTCCACCCCCATGCTTCTGCTTGGCCAAGGGGCCCTGGTGGTTTGTCCCTCACCACTGATTGGTTGTGAGAAGAGCCTGTCATGTAGCCCTGCCTCTCCCTGCCGATTGGTGGAGAGGGGCAGGGCCACATAACAGGCCGCCCTCACAGCCAGTCAGCAGCAAGGGGTAGCCGTCATCAAGCTGGCAGCCTATAAGCCCACTTCGGTGAGCGCCCTCTGGGGAGCCA